GTTCCCATGTGCGACTCCCCTGAGGGCCCTGTGTGGCATGTGGTGTCCCTCTCCCTCTATGAGAGTACGTGACCATACTCAATCTCATCTGTCAATCTCATCTGTTTCCACTGTCCCACATTATGCCTTTGGTCATCTTCATAAGTGAGGAGTGGGATTCCCTCCCTCATCCACAGGGTGGGTAAGAGGTGCACATCACCCTCTTAATCCAGGGAAGGAAGCACCATGTCCGGGGAGCCACAAGGGTGCTCTGGACTCAGGTTCTTGCAGAGAGTGCCAGGGAGAAGCTCCAAAGGAATGTATCCCTTTGGGCAGCCCAGCAGCAGGGTGCATTCCATCTTCCTATCGGAGATCTTCAGAAATCATATGATCAGGTGTGTCAGAAGAACCACTTGATAAAAAACCACTTGATAAAATCCACAGGCTTATGGAGCTGGATTGGGCCTGAAGAAGCATCTCAGAAAGCCAAGACCAGTATTGACCAGGGCCATCTCTGTAAGGTGAGCTGGAGGGAAGTGGTGCACGGGGATTAGAGAGAATGGTTTCTGCTAAGGGGGCTGCCCCCAGGAGCAGGTCAGAATCTGTGGGACTGTGCTGTGCAGGGCCCGGGGGTGATGTGTGGCAGACGGCCGGAGCCCAGGCCTGGGTGACAGGTACCAGCCGTGTGCACCTGGCCACAGCGCTGACCCTCAGTCTTCCACTGCACAAACCAGAGGTGACGGTGCCCGGCATCCGGCACCACCTGGAAATAGAGGGCGCAAGTGGAAGTGCTCCTCAGGCTGTTGCCCGGGGCCCTGGCCTTGGGTAAGCGCTTAGATGAAAGTCATTCTCGTTTTGTATCTTTGGAGCCCTTTGGACAGATGGAAAATAAGAATAGCTTCATGAAATAGCCTATGCTCCCGCAGGCTTTGCAGACATCAGCTGGTGGGGAAGCACAGCAGGAGGGGGTGTGTGTGAACTTTCGCTCAAGTCTGGGATGAAATCTGGTTCCGCATTCAGCCTAAAGCCATAAAGTACTGGACTGACCGTCCCTTTATTCCATGAGTCCACCTAGGATTTTTCAGCTTCCCGTGTGTAAAAGCCATACACGCTCGTCAGAAACTGTACTTGGATTTTTTTAAGCTTTTATTTATATATTTATTTATTTTAGAGAGAGGATAGAGCTAGAGCACTCATGATGGAGGGAGGGGAAGAGGGAGAGAGAGAGAGAGAGAGAGAGAGAGAGAGAGAGAATCTTAAGCAGGCTCCACACCCAGGGAGGTGCCCAGTGCAGAACTCAATTTAAGGACCCTAAGATCATGTACCTGAGCTGAAATCGAGAGTCGGATGCTTTTATTTTTAAGGATTTTATTTATTTATTTGACAGAGGAACAGAGAGAGAGAGAGAGAGCACAAGAAGGGGGAATGGCAGGCAGAGGCAGAGGGAGAAGCAGGTACCCTGAGGAGCAGAGAGCCTGATGCAAGACTCGAATTCAGAACCCTGGGATCATGAGCCAAAAGCAGACACTTAACCAACTGGACCGCTGGGGTGGCCCAAGAGTCAGACACTTAACTGACCTAGCCGCCCAGGCACCCCAAAACGGTACTTTGGATCTTTCCCTGGGTGGGGAGAGGCACTGTGACACCCTCTCCTAAGGGGTGGACGCTGCAGGCCACGCTCCCAGTGTCAGGAGGGCCAACAGAGACTCTCACAAGTGTTCTGTCCCTGCAGCCATGCTGTTTGCCCCTTCATCACACTCCGATAAATGACATGAGATATTCCATCTGGTATAAAGTAGGCTCGCACAGGTGATTTTGCCCGACCGCGGGCTGCCGTGAGTGTTCTGAGCGGTGTAAGTGATGACAGGTAGTAGGTCAGGTGTGTATTCGGTGCTCTCTTGACTTAGGATTTCGCAACTCAGGATGGGTTTTCTGGGGTGTAACTTCATTGGAAGTCCAGGAAGATCTGTGCTTGTTTCCTTTGCTGCTGAAAAACATCACAACTTAGTGGTGTAAAACAACATGTATTTATTCTCTTAGTATTCTGGAGTTGAGATCTGAGATGAGTCTCATGGGCCTCAAATCCAGATGTCGGCAGCACCGGAGCCTTCTGGAGCTTCTGAGGGACAATCCTTTCCTTGCTTCTTTCAGCTTCTGGAGCCTGCTGGCATTCCTTGGCTTGTGACCCCCTCACATCGCCCGAGTCTCTGGCTCCCATCACTACATCCCCTGCTACGGACTGACTGACCTGCCTTCCTCTCCTAGGGTTACTCGAGCCCCACCCAGAAAATCCAGTCTCGTGTCCCATCTCCAGATCCTTAATGGCATCTGTAAAGCCCCTCTGTGCAAGAAAATAACATTTGCAGGCTCCAGGGATTAGGACAGGGACGTAGCTCATCTGAGAGCTACCATGTAGATTCTATGCACTGTCCGGTACATAGTACACAGTATGCAGACTACACACACCACAGACACATGTACGCACATAGGTATGTACCCTAGTGTGTATGTATACACACACACGTATGTATCTTAAAAGATTTGTTTCTAGAAATTAACTCACATGATCAGGGAGGTTGACAGGTCACATGTTGGGGCAGGGCACCTGCAGCCTGGACACTCAAGCAGAGTTTCTTCTTCTCCAGGACACTGTTTTTGCTGCCCTCGTGTTAGTGACGGCAATGTCCCTTCCCCACAGTCGACTGATTGTCCACATGTACAAAGGGTCCTCATGGCGACACCTGGACTAGCATGTGACTCATCAACTGGGGACAGAGCCTCCCGTGTAAAGCTGACCATCCCTGACATGGACATTCGTGTTTTCCATCCTGTCCGGGGCACCTTCAGCCGTTGAGTCTGTGGCCGCGTCTTTGGCTGCTGTCTCGCCTCCTGGTCCTTCCACACGCGTCAGTATTGGGGTTCGCGGGGGCCTGTTCATTCTTCTGCTTTCTTTCCCTCTTTTCCTCAGGTTGCATAATCTCTGTCAGCCTGTTTAATATTTCTGCTTCTTTCTTCAGCCAGTCAGATGGACCACTGACCCTTCCCACTTTTTCATGGAAGCTGACCTTGTCACCTCCAGAATTTCCATTCAGTTCTTTTTCATAACGTCTGTCTCCTGGCTGGTGTGTTGCGGGCAAGCCATTGATTTCCTTTAGCTCTTGAACACGTCCCTAAGGGCCTCTGGGCCGCCTCGGGTGAACCAGACATCAGCCTGTCCCACAGGGAGTGTCTTTCCCCCACCTTCACTGAGGGATAATTGACAATAAAATGATACATATTTAAGGGAGTACAATGTAACGATTTTGTACACACGTATTTTGTGAAATGATTACCACATCCAGCTAATTAATCACTTGGCATGCTTACTTTTGCTCTGCGCGTGGTGATGAGTAAGGGACAGGTGGGGCTAGATAGGGAGACAGAGATAGGGGGCTACGTGGTCAGGCTCACAGAAATCCCGACAATGCGGAGGCGTCGGGAAACCAGAGATGAGGGAACACACCAGGCCACTCCGCCCTCGGTGTCTGAGGAGAGGAGTCTAGTTTATGACAGTCTCCTGTGGCCAACAGCAAATAACCAGATCATAAAAAAGAAGTCAACCATTAAAAATGTTATCACAAGTCCTTAATCCATGGCTCTGCCAGTAGAGATGTTAAAAAGATCGAAGTTCCCCGATTAGCTTTCAGGGAAAGATCAACCCTCAAAGCCCTCCATGGCAGCCCTGTCGGGAGCACCTAGTCCTCTTGTAACTCAGCTTTTGAACCCCTTACCAACATTCCCACACCCCCATCGCAGACGGTTTCTGGGGCCATTTCTTTCCTGGGTGTGGGCCCCATGTTCCCGGGGCTCTGCTGGCCTCACAGGGTTTGGATGCAACTGGACGTTTTAGGTAAATTATTGTAGCAACTTGGATAGTGGTTCCTGCTCTTTGGGCCCGCCTCCCAGGGATCTGGGTTGTTTTCTTGACTATCTTTAGGGACTGGCCTGAACGGTTTTAGTGAAGCTGACTTGCTCCCAGGGTAAAACATCTGCTGTCTCCCCGCAGACAGCTGTGTGCAGTCAGCTGTGTGCTGCTCCCTGTGATCCGGGGAGGGCGGTGAGCAGGACACTATCGGCCTGTCTCTTCCCCTCTTCCCTCCGTTAAGCTCTCTGCCTCTGGGCCTCCAAGCAAGCTCCGAGCCTCCACTAGTTGCTGGCTAAAGGCTCCATGCTTTCAACAAGGCCCTGGGGTAGAGAGAGCTCCCCCGTTTGAATTTGTTGGATGTCTCTGGGGTGATTCCCAGGGTTTTGAAACATTGGTTTAAAAACCACTTTTCACTTGTTATGAGTGAGTAGGGTGGAGGTGGGTGTGCAGTGCTCCTCCCAACACCATTCTGGAAAGGAATCCTGCCACCCACGGTAATCTAGCAGCCCTGAGAGAAAAGAAAAGGTTACTTAAAAAGGGAACGGTGAGATTAAAAAAAGCTAAAAACAAAAACCAACTATGGGTTACCGCAGTAGAGCCCATCAAGATTTGGGGGAAATGCCTTCCTCTGCTCCTGTTGGGCTCAAACGTGACAAAGCAAAGCAGGTGTGTTTCATTTCTAAGACCTGAGACAACACCACCACCAAAACCTACTGTGTTCTGTTGTGTGCTGGCCTCGCATTTTTTTTTCAAAAGTCTAAGCACGTGTTTATTGAATAGGAGAGCATCTTCAACAGGGCGGGTGTGTTTATTGACACCATTCTTCAGTCCGTCCCTTGGACAGGACAAACTTCTTTACGTGGGGACACGTTCCCTAATTCACTTAAATCTCACATCTTCAGTTATGTAAGTCCGGCTTTATTATTCCATTTATGACTGGGAAATTGAGATACAACCAGCGATGCCTTCTTATTTGAGTTGGCTCCCTTGGGGTCGGGTCAGTGGGGGGAGCGTGGCCAGGATCACTGGGGGGAAGGCAGGGCTCCTCAGGTGCTCTGTCCTCCTCTGTCCTCACTGTATCCTGGGGAAATGAGCCTTCGCTGGGCTGCCATTGGCTGCTCCTCCAGCCCGCACTCATAAAGCCTCGATTCTCACCGGCTCCAGATACCTGCACCTCAGCCCGCTTCTGCCAATCTTTGAGGCCGGGACCAAACGCGGAGATGGGTCGCTGCCTGCTGCTGCTGCACCTGCTGCTCATCCTGTGCTCACAGCTGGACCTGCTCCAAGGTGCGGCGCTGGGGAGCAGTGGAGGGCAGTGGGGACTGATAAGGATCTGGGATCCGGGGGAGTGGTGCTTTCCAGCTCCAGGTGGGACTTCTCTCCCTGACTCTAGATCTACCTGCCTTGTCCTGACTTGTCCCCAACAGGTAAGATGACCGCGTGGGTTATTCTTTAACCGGGACATCCTATTTTTCTAGGGACACATTTCAGTGTCTTTGTGCTTGTAACTTTTGTCCCCACAGCATCATGTACTTAAACACTTTTCAGGCTGATATGTGTTGGTACTCTCTCTGTTGCACTTTCACATTTCTGCTGTTGGGTTATCCTGTGGGATCAGGGTGGCCCCCACCCCAAAGTTGGTTCCAATGTCTGGACCCACAATGCCATATCTGCACCCAGAGGGAATGAGAAGGTTTTCCTCTTACCTGCTGAGGCTTTCTTGGAAAAGCAAGACTTGAGTCCAACAGGTGTCTCAATGGCCTGAGGAGCAGGGAAGGGAGACTGGCTCGGGAGGTACATGGTGGTTAGGAGAGGGCCAGGGGCGTGTTCCTGCCTGCGATGAGGGTCTGAATGTTTTGAACCTCCCACCCATGCCAATTGCAGGAGCACCAGGGCCAGATGTGGGGCAGAAGGGATGCGACAAGATCTGTCACTTGTCAAACATCCAAAAACGCAGTCAGACACTTTATTAACGGCAACTGAATTTAGGGTGCCATACCATTGTGGACACTTAGATTGAATCATAAATTAATTCTTCTGAAGCTTTGGTGCCTGGGTGGCTCAGTGGTTGAGCATCTGCCTTTGGCTCAGGGCGTGATCCTGGGGTCCTGGAATCAAATCCCCCATCAGGGTTCCTGCAGGGAGCCTGCTTCTCCTTCTGCCTGTGTCTCTGCCTCTCTCTGTGGGTCTCTCATGAATAAATGGATAAAATCTTTAAAAAAAATTCTGAAGCTTAACCATTTCCAGCAAAGCTTGCTGAGAGCAATGTAGGTTCCTCATCACCTTCAGTGAAAACTTTTGTAATTCAGTTATCCTACCTGTGTGTGTGTACATACTTAATTAGCAAAAAGTCATTTCTACATGCCCTGTAGTTGTATAGTGTGTGTGTGTGGGGTTGTGTTGTACAATTGTTGGAACACAGGATACAATCAATTTGTTCTGTAGTTATACTATCACCACAAAAGAAATGATTTTATGTTCTGTGTGAACTTTGACACTGAATTTACAACAGCATTCACAAAAAGTCAGATGTTTTACCATCTATGGAATATGTGTCCACAGCTTTTACTTGATTCCATGGATTGAGTGAAGAATGGAATGATTGTTGGCATTAACTGGCCGCTGATATGATTTGTTTACAACGTTCTCCATCTGCCAGTGGAATCAGCCTAGAAGTAGTCCAGGTTTCTCTTAGGGTATGTGCACTAGAAGGCTCAGAATACCAAATATGGCAAGTTAATTGAGAAAACACTCATTTGATCTTAAAAAAAATTCATCCTCCTGCCCTGTGTTCCTCCAGAAGCTGGATCTGAGGGACAGATCTGAGTAGAAAAAATTTGATTGGACAGGGGTCCCAGGAAACGCCAGCAAGGGAGTGAGGAAGTGAGACACTGAAGGAAGGAGCAGGTGAAGGAGGCGTCCTTGAGCTAGATGCCAGGTGAGCACCCAGAGCCCGGGGCTCAGTCCCACTGGGACATTCTGGAAGACAGGCATTGAGAAGGCCGCAAGCCATCCCATCTCAGTCAGTGTACTTATGCACCGACTCCCCACCTGCTCTTGGGAGAGGGCTACCTCCAGGGGCTTTGACTCTGTAGGACCCCAGCATACTGGTGTGCAAGGCGAGTGTGCCCCGTGGGCCCCAGTCAGAGTCGCAGGTGTGTGCAAGAGCAGCCCACAGCCTGTGTGGGTGAATCAGGCTGGGAGGCAGGGGGAGGCAGGGGAGGCCAACTGCAGTGCCATCTCTCCCCTGGGCCTCTTGCATTCTCTCCTTCTTAAAAGCCCATCGTCTGCACAGCAGCCAGAGGCAGCTTGCAACACAGAAACCAGTGCGTGTCACTCCTTATTTTTATTTTTATTTATTTATTTTTTTTTAAAAGATTTTATTTACTTATGAGAGAGAGAGAGAGAGAGAGAGAGAGAGAGGCAGAGACACAGGCAGGGGGAGAAACAGGCTCCCTGCATGGAGCCTGATGTGGGACTTGATCCTGGGACCTCAGGATCACGCCCTGAGCCAAACGCAGACGCTAACCGTTGAGCTACCCAGGCGTCCCTCACTCATTTTTAAACCTCCAGTGGCCTCCTTTCTCGAGTAAAATCTCAATTCCTATGGCGGCTGAAACTGTCCTGTCCAGTAAAAATATAAAGCCAGCTACAGATGGCATTTTGAGTTTCTGAGTAGACACATTCGAAAAATAAGAAAGGTGTAGCATTAACTTTAATAATGTATTTTATTTACCCCGATATATCTAAAATAGTATCCATTACATGTCACTGATGTTACACTTACATCAGGAAGCAAAAGAATTTTTTTGCCTATGTGTTTGAAATCACTCATGGCCCATCTCTTTGTTTTTTTTGTTTTTTTTTTTTGTGCATTTGTGCGTTTCTCTTTTTTTGCGTGCAGAAAGGGTGCTTTTATTAAAGCCCAGGGACAGGCCCCACGGGCAGAAAGAGCTGCAGGGGGGGTTGTGAGGAGTGACTGATTATATGCTTTTTAGTTAGTGGGGGTTAGGGCCAGCTTCTGTCTCCAAGGAACTTGTGCTCCTTACAAGTGGGATCTCCAGACCCCAGTGGGGGGCTACTGCGGTTAAGGCAGGGCTGCTCTTACCCTAAAACAGTGGTCAGGAGACCCTTCAGATGGGGAGCAGCAAGCCGTGTGTTTGCAAGGTGATTGCTAACCTATACCTGGAGGGGGGTAAGGGTTGTGGGAGGGAAGTCACGCTAGAGAGAGCCGGGGTGCCGCGGTCACACAGTGAAGGAGGTCCTCGAGGAGATGCAGGAGAGTTACCCTCTGTGAGGCTCGGGAGCTCGGCCTGGGGACGGTGAGCCTCAGCAGAGTCTGCTGCCTGCTCCCTTCTCCCATCACCTCCTCCTCTGATAGCTTTGACCCTTAAATTTTTGAGGTTGCTGTGGGCAGAGGGGCTCCTCTTCTGTAGCTTCCTCCTGCTGAAGCAGGTGCAGAGAGGCCCCTACCTGGGGGTCCCAGGGGCACCGCTGAGGATTTAGTAGGAGCCCCGCAGTCAAGGCAAGGCCGAGCAGCTGTGTCACGAGTGAGTTAACATGTGGGCGTCCCCTCGGGTGGGGAGGGTCAGCTGTGGCCTTGATGGGGGGCAGGGGAGGAGTTTTGGCACCAGGCGCTGAGACATTGGGAAAAACAGCAAAACAGGATGAAAATAACAAGAAGAAAAAGAAGCCCAAGGAAGAGTCCTTTGACAGTTGCCCAAAATCCTAGGGCCCAGGCATCGGACCTGTGACCCTGCAGGTGCTCGGCAGCCCCGGGGCAGAGGCCCAAGGTGGACGGAGCAGCCCTGAGCCCCCCCCCGCTCTGGCCCCCGGAACCTCTTCCATCTCATTCCCAGTCGGCCAGGCCCCCACTCCTCGGCTGTCCCTCTTGTTTCTGGAACCCGCCACACCGATTTTCTCTCACAGCCCCTGCCCTTGCCCCTCTATCTTCCTGGAACCAGTTCCCCAACTTCTCCCAGGTGTTGAAAGAGCCAGCCTTTCCTTCTCCCTTTAATTTGCCCACGTGTGAGCGTGAGTGACCCCCCGAGAGAGCCTCTCTGGCCGCCCCGGGTGAAGGGACAACCCTACTGCCCCCCACCTGCCAGCTCTGTGTCCTCGGGCCACAATCTTCCTCTGTCACCAGGACCTGAGATCATCTCCCTCCCGTGTCCTTTGTCAGCCGCTTCCCCCATTTCTTTGCGGCCTTGAGGACATAAGTGCCATGCATGTTCCATTCCTCCCTCCTGTCACTCTGTCCCCGACATCGGGGACAGCCTGGCACACAGCAGGTTCTCAGGGGGTGTTGAGTGAAGGCAGGGGCCAGCTGCTGCCCTCCTAAGGTTGGAGAAGAGAGAGAGCTGGGGCTTGGGCCAGATGTTGGCAGGTGACACCTGCGGCTCCCTCCGCCCTTCTTCCTTCTCCTTTCCTGAGTCCTCCCTGACTTACTCCCCACTCCTCCCTCTGATCTCATCCTACCCTCCTCCATCCCTGGGAGTCGAGGGGGATCTTGTCTGTGCTCCTCCCAGGTATGAGCCAAGCACCCAGAAATCCCCAGCTTTCAGCCATGTCATCGGGCCTGGGAACCGGCCACTGTCCAGGCTGGGAGTCGCCCAGAGGGTGTGCTCGCTCCTGACCCGTGGGAACGCAGGGCCGGGAGAGCCTCAGGATGCTCATTTTCTCTTTCCAGCTCTGCAATGTTTCCAGTGTAAACAAGTCAATGCCAATGGGGTTTGCGAGGATGGGAAAAGTACCTGCCAGGCTGAAGGCAACCAGCAATGTTTTCTGAGGAAGGTCTATAAAGGTAGGTGGGCCTGTGGAGTGTCCTGGGTGACCTTAGCCTGAAGTTGGGTGCTAGGAGTGGGTGTGCAGGGTTGGGAGGGGTATGAGTCCCCCATGGGACCACGTGGAACTGGGGGCCCCAGGACAAGGCAAGGTGACTCCTGGACCCAGGGAACTGGAGCCATAGGAACCCTGGCAGCAGCACCAGTATAGGTAGGGGTTGGTTGTCTTTTTTCAACTAAATGTGTGAATCTGCATCATAGGGTTCTGGTACTTGGCTGCCAATGGCTCTTTTAACTGGGCAGGTACCTGCAAGAGAAGAAGATAGGATCTCCTGTTAGCTCCTGGGCTGCTAAAATCCCACTGAGTGGGACCTGAGTGTTGTAGTGTTTGGGGGAGCCACGGGGTAGAGGTCGGGAGAGAGGGTTGGGGAAGGTGATATGGGCAATTCCTATTCACCCCTTCCTGCCCTCTCCTGTGTGGGGAGGGAACCCTAGGACACAGAGCCCCTCCAGCTATCCTGTGAGAATAGGATAGGGGGCCCTATCTCAAATTTCTCAATCCTGAGAGGCAGATACTCCTCCCTACCAGAGCTAGCAGTTCTTGATGGAAGGTTCCAGCTTCTCTCATTCCTTGATTAATTTGTTGATACAACTATCACTGATCCATTCAGCAATATTGATTAAGCACTGCTTGCCAGGACCCGCTGGACCCCACAGCCATGGGTCTTGAAACCCAGGTTTTGGGGTCTCACTTGCCCCCTTCTCTGCCTCTCTGCAGATAACATCCTTTCATACGGATACCAAGGTTGTAGCAGCGTGTGTTCCCCTATGACGATCTTTAGTACGAATGTTAATTTGGAGGAGAAATGTTGCAATGACTCACCTTTCTGCAACAAGTTCTAAAGATGGGGCCCAACTTTGCCCTGACCTGCTAGAGGAAGCTGATTCAACACACTTTTCAACTCTCACGATCTTTACAACTACTGTGCACTGACCACAGGTTCCCCAGAGGGGGCCTGACACAACCTGCTAGTTGTGTGCTAGGCCCAGTCACCCTTCTCTTTGCCTCATTGTGAGATGTCACCAGGAGAGTCTTTAACATCCAACTGGGGTGAAGAGTGGTGGGCACCAGTAGGTCCAAGCATGATTTCTTCCTTTCAAAATCCTAATGATGAGTCACATTGATTTTCACTTTAAAAAGGCAAGGTCTGTGGGATACTGTGGGGTCTGTGATTCTGGGTGTTCTGGAGGCAGCCAACTGAAGGAAGAGGGAGAGTCCTCAGAAGCTCAAAAGCGTAGGCAATGAGTTGGCTGTAAATGATGTATTAGGTGGTGGTGAGCTGCTGTAACAAGAATCTCTGAAATGTTGATGTCTTAAAACAATAATAATAATAAATGACTGCTAACCCATTTCACAGTTCAATGAGGTGGTGGTGATTATTTAGAGAACCCAGCTCCTCTGAACTTTTTAGGCCGCCGTCTTTAACATGGCCTCCGAGGTCTCCACTGTGGGGAGTCACACTGGGTCTTTTGTGGCCGGAACTCACAGCGGTGTACATAATTTCTGCCCGCATTCCACTATTACTTGACTCCAAACAATTTGTAAGAAATGTAATCTTGCCACCTGCCGTGCAATCTGGTGTGCCCGAGAGAAAATTCAGATGCCCTGATGAACATGGTGGATAGAGTCTGGTTCCTTCCCCCACCCCCATCCCACCCCACCCCTGACCGTTCAGGACCCTTGACCTGCATCCACATTTGGCCTCTGTTACAAGGGAAAGAATGACCCAACAAACGAGGACTAGGGAGCACCATACGCTGATTAAACATGTAGAACCTGACCAGATATCCCACCCTTCCCCTCTCCGTCTCCCCCACATGGAGGCTGGAGCCCAGCGTGTCTCTTGAGCCCGTCTGTGGCACCCACGGTGCTCCGGGGGGTCTCAGGGCTCTCTTGCTGTGCCTCCCTCACCCCCGGTGACAGTGACCCCTGTATGGCTGTCAGTGGTGTCATGTCCTCATTCTCCCCAAGCAGCCAGCCCTCGGGAGAGGCACTGGTAGAAACTGGGAGAAGGCAGGTGAGGAAGAGGAAAGCCAAACAGAGTGCGTTGACGCCAGCTTCGTTCACCCCCCTGCGTGGGAGTCACCAGGGATGAGAAGCGAGTGATCACAACCACGCTTCTGTAGCATCTTAGCAAAGAAGCATCATTTTGTACATAAGAGACAAAATGAAAGAAAGGGGGTTGATACTTTCAGGGCTGGCAAATTATGGGGGGAAGGTAAACACACGGAGGAAGGAATGGAAAGCCTACTTAGTCCGGACTGTTGGGAGATTCCTCAGGGCTGGAGTCCAGAGCTGCGGCCCTGAGGAGACAGGGAGGCCAGAGGGTTTTTCTTGTTTCTTAGAAGTGACTTCCAGCTCAAAATGATCCTATGTCACATGATGTATTTTGGGGTGGCGGCTTCTGAACCCTTTCAACTCAAACCCATCCTTGAGGGCTGGACGGAATCAGAAGTCTCACTGCTGTCTCTCTGGCTTCCTGCGTCACTAGGACCCCAGCACGTCCCCCAGACTCCCTCTCCCAGGGCTCCTCTGAGCACAGGAACAGAAGCCATGACTTTTGAGGCCGGGAATGGAGCTGTGCCAGAGTCATTAGCTGTGCCCCCTCGTCTTTGTCAGGCTTCGCGAGGGCACCGGGCACAACGCGGACTCGGGTCGCCGTGCATCCTTGGTAGATGCTGTGCACACTCTGAAGCCAAGCGCACACATCCTGAGGTCCCTGGCCCTGCTGTGGAGGCAGTTTTCTCATCCACTGGGAGATTCATTTCCTCATAAAATTTTCCTCCTCTGAGAAAGACTTGGTTATAACTTTGGTTATCAGCTGGTGATGGTCTCAGGCTGGCTCTCGCTGCCTCTGTGTTCATGGGTCACAACTAGACTCACAGTTTGCCAAGGGCTAGGTGGAAGAGTGGGTGTAGACATGCCACCTCAAAGGCCATACCATGTGACGCTTACAAGATTCCCTCCTCTGGTCTGAATTGACTGTGACAGTGGTGGACACACTTGACCCAACGGAGCCAATGAGTTCTCTTCCCTGGGAATTCCTTATTAGATATCAGGGACGAATCTTCTCATCTGGGGAATGACTTTATCAAAGCAAAGGGCTGCCCATTCCAGGTGTAGCCCTTAGCAGCACTCAACAAACCAACAAAGAGAGATGGAGAAACAGTTTAGTGTTAGCTATGCCTTTATGTCCAGGGTTTCTGCTTCCTCAAAACAACAACAACAAAACCCAAAAAGGACAAGGGAAGAAAACACAGACAATGGCCATGTGGCCACCTCTGTCGTGTTTGTGGCTGCCTGACTCACACCTGTGACAGCTGGAGAGCTTGTCCAGAGGCCCGTCGTGAGCCTCACTTAGGGAGCCTTCCGGAGGTGTCCCTACCTGCGTGTCCTCTGACGGTCAGCATCTCAGGCTCCTCCAGCTTCAGCTGTGATGCTTCTGCTCTGCTCCATCCTGGTGGCAGCAGGTGACCTTATCCCTGGGCCCTCTCCATCCTCACACCTGAACTCAGGGACCTGAGGATTCTGGTGGGGGCAGGAGGAGGAGTTTAAACCTCTCACAGGGTCAGGACCCAGTGAGCAAGGCCGCCCCCTGCAGGCAGCCTCCGGGGTGAGGACACGCACTCAGCCTGGCCCCCTGTTCACCTGGTGTGGGTGCTGGGCAGGCGTCTGGCCCCATGGTGAGTCAGAAGCTTCTCCTCCTTCCTGGGCTGTGGGGGTGGGTGGGCAGACTATGGCTTGCCACCCGGAAGGCACAGCTCTGTCTAGCAGGGGATTTCTGGGTGCTTGGCTCATACCTGGGAGGAGCACAGACAAGATCCCCCTCGACTCCCAGGGATGGAGGAGGGTAGGATGAGATCAGAGGGAGGAGTGGGGAGTAAGTCAGGGAGGACTCAGGAAAGGAGAAGGAAGAAGGGCGGAGGGAGCCGCAGGTGTCACCTGCCAACATCTGGCCCAAGCCCCAGCTCTCTCTCTTCTCCAACCTTAGGAGGGCAGCAGCTGGCCCCTGCCTTCACTCAACACCCCCTGAGAACCTGCTGTGTGCCAGGCTGTCCCCGATGTCGGGGACAGAGTGACAGGAGGGAGGAATGGAACATGCATGGCACTTATGTCCTCAAGGCCGCAAAGAGATGGGGGAAGCGGCTGACAAAGGACACGGGAGGGAGATGATCTCAGGTCCTGGTGACAGAGGAAGATTGTGGCCCGAGGACACAGAGCTGGCAGGTGGGGGGCAGTAGGGTTGTCCCTTCACCCGGGGCGGCCAGAGAGGCTCTCTCGGGGGGTCACTCACGCTCACACGTGGGCAAATTAAAGGGAGAAGGAAAGGCTGGCTCTTTCAACACCTGGGAGAAGTTGGGGAACTGGTTCCAGGAAGATAGAGGGGCAAGGGCAGGGGCTGTGAGAGAAAATCGGTGTGGCGGGTTCCAGGAACGAGAGGGACAGCCGAAGAGTAGGGGCCTGGCCGACTGGGAATGAGATGGAAGAGGTTCCGGGGGCCAGAGCTGGGGGGGCTCAGGGCTGCGCTGTCCACCTTGGGCCCCTGCCCCGGGGCTGCTGAGCACCTGCAGGGTCACGGGCTCGACGCCTGGGCCTCCCCCTGAGCAGGGAGCCTGACACTTGCTGGATCCCAGGACCCCGGGACCATGACCTGAGCCCAAGGCAGACTCTTAACCAGCTGAGCCACCCTGGCACCCTGTGCTCTTTCTATCTATTGAACTTCCTTGTTCTTAGTAGCTCTGTTAGGCCACTCACAACAACTTCATGAGGCCTGAGACAAGCCGGCCATCATTCCAGGCTGTTCTCCTTGCTGACAAATCATCTGAGAGAGAACATGAGCCTGTCTGACCATCTGCGTGATAGTTAATGCAGGTAAGTCTGAAGACGGGCCTGTTGCCATCCAACCAAATGGAAACTACCTTTTCTTTGCCAAAGATGATCCCAGAGCACATGAACCTGAAAAGTCGTGGGATCAGTTCCCGTGATCACCCTGAGGATTTCTACCAAGTCTTAATTCGGGTAAGTGCTGGATTTTCTTCACGCCCCTCCCAGGTGTTCTTGGAGAATGAACTTTGGTGATTCCATGTGGAGGCAGCGAATACCGGCATCCACAACACAGGTGTACAGACCCACAGACAGACGAAACAGAGACCACACACTCCCTCCTCAGGGTTGCCCGGTTGGTTGCCCAGGTTCCAGAAGGAGTTCCAACTTGTGGTGTAATCTCCTCCTTGAGGTTTGTCCTGCGACATTTATGACATTGGCGTCTCAGGGGCCCAAGCGAGAGCGCAGATTCCCAGCCCTTTGGGGTAAACAGGGGACGTTGGCCGGCCAAGTGCTAAAATGGCATCATGTAATATGCAACTTAGGCTTGCCTCCAGAGCTGCATTCCAGGGCTGCAAAGATTTGTAAGAGGAGGCCAGGGACTCTCAGTTGCTCCAGGAATTGCGTTGCAGCTTCAATGTTCTCGTAGGTGGGCTCACCCTGTAGCTACCTTCTCTTTTTCAGTAAATGCCCCAGGAAGGTTGGGGAAGCATTCCTGACCCTCTGGGTACCTGGCTCCAATTTAGTTGAGGGGAGGACACATACTTTCTTTCTTCTTCAACTTCTTTTAATGCTATCAGGCTCTGCAATCTGGCCAATTTCTGATCACAGACCTACTTTGTAGTTTTTTTTTTAATATATATTTTTTTATTGGAGTTATATTTGCCAACATATAGTATAACACCTAGTGCTCATCCGGTCAAGTGCCCCCCTCAGTGCCCATCACCCAGGCACCCCATCCTCCCGCCCACCTCCCTTACCACCACCCCTTGTTTGTTTCCCAGAGTTAGGAGTCTCT